GCTGTCTCGCACTCTCTCCATCAACCCCCCCCACCAACACACACACACACACACACACACACACACACCTTTTATCATCAAAAACCCATCTCTCATCACCACACCTCCTCCTCTCCACTCTGGTACCCAAGTTGCTCTAGTTTCTCTTTTCATTTCATTAGCCCCCCAACAAAGAATTGAATGAATTTGTTTGTCCTTCCATATTGTTTATTTCAAAGTACACTATGCATGTGTGTAAACTTGTCATGCACAGGCTGCTCATCAAATTCACATAAAATCTGGCACATTTTGTCTGGAGACATTCCTGACAATAAGCTATCAAAATAAATGTAACTTGTCAAATTGTTTTGCAGACTTCAGCCAATTAATTTGTTAGCTGAAGAAGAAAAAAACATAACAAAATACCCAAAGTTTCTGAAACTTGAACAAATGAATTAAATAAAGCTGCAAATAGCAAAAAAATAAATAAAAAAAGAGGAGTGCAACTTTTAGCTGTTCATTCATCGCACTGAAAATGAAAGGTCAAGTCAAGAACTTTGCATTGTGGGACTGAAGGTCAAGTCAAGCTCATTGCACACTGCATAGACTGTGTAATAGCACATTTTGGCAGGTGCAGTAGGCTTTTCTTTCAAATTACAGATGCTCCTATTGCAATTTTCTTAGCTGATTCCGATGTTATTTTTTTGTAAGTGTGACCTGCTGATACCGATTTTAGAACTATAAATGAAAGCATATACAAACAAAAATCTACTTTTTTTTTTTCAATACAAAAAATTATTTACATAATAAAATAAATTATTAAACATTACAATTTCCCCTAATCTGTGCTAAGTTACAGATGTTCTCTCACTTAAACAACTCTCAAAATAAAGTGCTCTGTGACTGGAAAGAGGTAGAAATTAGTTGCTGTATATAAAAAACAGATGTCATTGCCCACTGTTTATAAATGGGCATTGTTTCCCCTAACCTAATTAAACGCATGTGTTATCTTCCACATCAAATTTTTTGCATTGTTTCAATTAAATCAGAATAATACGAAACTGTATTCATTCATTCAGTTGTGTAGTGTGTTCTTGGTTCTTGGCCGATCATTTGGAAAATCATCTGATTCCTGTCCCTGGACAGTTGATTGGTGCATCTCTAGGGATGCTCCGATCAGGATTTTTGCAGCCGATACTGAGTACCGATTTCTTGTCATGGTGATCGGCCGATACCGATGCTGATTCTGATGCTTCAAGCTTTATATAGACGGTTTCATCGGGCGCACGCGCCTTGCCCAGCCCGAAGTTAACTTCGGTCAGTGTTTGTTTATCAGTCTGGCTATGGCACCGGCTACAAACACAGTTAAATTTAAGGTGATGAGTAGACTGAAGTTGGGCGTGCCGTTGAATTACAGAAAGAAAAAAAAAAACCAAGGTACCATCACGAAGTTCTTGCTTGGCAAAATTAATATAAGCTATTCTGTGTCTTAAGACAAGTTAAATTAGAACTAGTTCAATAATTATATTTATTATATTATATTATATTTCTACGGTAGAGGAGAATAGCCAAACCAAAAAGAAACAAAGAAAACACAATGCAACATGAAATGCTGTAAACTGCGAAAATGAAGTCTCAAAATCCAAATAAACCGAACAAGATCGACTCGAACTAGATGTCAATTAATGCACGCGTGTCACCTGATCCACATATGCACGGATTCCTTCCACACCGGCGATGACATGACTGTGGCTTAAAATCATTTACATCCCCACGCATCATGTATGTAGTCAGGCGTTGACGTCATCAAATTGCGATTGGTTCGTGAGATCGGCCAAATAGTGAGTACCGATCGAGGCATGAAATGTGATTATCGGCCGATACCGATCTCTGACCGATCGATCGGAGCATCCCTATGCATCTCTATTTAAAATGTTCCAAATTCCCTAGTTGATTGCTACATACAGCAAAAGTTCAAATAAAAAATTACAAATAAATAAAAATAAACAAACAACAGGTTTCCAGCGTTTATTAATTTTTAAATGAGAAATAAGATGGGGTAGGACATACATGAATGGACTTGTCCTTTTATTATAGACAATAGTCTTTAGTTTACACATTAACCTGGCAAAACTATGATCACAGACTTGCTTAATAATGGCAAGTGAAATTAATGAAAAGTGACATTTAAGAGAGCATTATCTTGGGGTGAAAAAACGTACTAAGGCTCTTATAAGACTTTAAATCCATTTTCTAAAATTTTGGATCACTTTTTCTAAAGGTATCTGCTAAAAGGTTTTTGTTGTAAATGTTTAAAAGTACACTAGCATAGAGATGTTTCGGAGCTAACACTGAAAGCTACAAAACTCCAATTTTAATATCATAGGGTCTTTAACACGGTTTTTCTTTCAAAGCAAATGTATCTGCAAAACTGTACATGCCCAATCTCAGACTATCACACCGAAATCCAATAATGAGCAACATACATGTAGAAAACACCCGCCATGCACCATCACATGATGGATAACCTTTTACATCCCATCATTAATAATAGTAGAGTCTCTGACTGCAGGCTGTCTAATGCATTCATACCACAATAAATTCATCTACACGCATGTTTTGCTCCCACCAGAACTGAGATGAGCACTCATCACTCAAACAACTCCAAGCCAAAGTAATGGTGGCTCAAATATAGATTTTTCTGCCTCATTAAAAATTACTGAACCGCATGTTGTAAATAATAAAACCCTTGTGGTGAATAAAGCGTTTGATCCCTCAAAGAAGGTGTTTGTTTTTTAACATGTGCGTTCAAGGTCATATCTGTGGAAAACAGAGAATGTAACTTTCTTCTTGTCCCGAATGTCTTTTTTCTCTGTTGTGTCCTCTCCAGACCTTTCTTGTCAATCAGATCCTTGACTCCCATTAAATTCTCCTGGACCTTAAAGCCCTTCCGCTTGCTCGCTCGCTGCCGTAAGCCCCCTCCCTTTACAAAACGCGGATCATTCCTCAATGTCATGCCATCCATTGATCTGCTTCTAAAGCCTTTACCGAGAGTTGGCGTGGCCAGATACAAAGCTACACTGGGCAATCCATCACGCAAACTCCGTGCTTGCTGTGACAGTCCGGGCTGTCTTTTACGCACACACATACACACAGAGGTTTGAGCCAGAGCCTGTCAGTTCCTGAGTCCTGGTATTGATGCCTGCAGCGCTGGCACGCAGCAACACAGCTACAATTAGCGCATCCCTCTGACAAGTACCCGATAAAGGTGATCAGCAGCCTCCTCCACCCTGCTACACACAACTTCATTGTGCAGGTCTCATGAGGTCCTCCCCAGGGGAGCCGGGCAGACGCCCCCCACTCACTGACGCTTGCAGCACGACTTCTGCAATGTTGCCCTAAGAAAGTTCCGCTGTGAGTGCATAATGGAACAAATAAAATGGCTTTGTTGAATAATCTTTGTGGAATTATTTACAACTTAATATCTACGTATTGCATCTGTGGCATGCTGTCGATCACCACAGACACTTTTGACTCATTCCACAGTTCGCAAAAACAAATGGAAAACACATTTAGTAATGTACAGTAATTGAAGCCTACCCGGCAAGAAAGCTGAATGGTTTAAGGCACAATTGTGAAGCTTGACATTAAGTTAAAGAAGACTTTTACAATTTTTTATTTATTTTTTATGCAAAATTGTCTAAACTTTTCTTTCGAGGTGGGATTGCTTTACTTGGTCGATGAACTTTTCTCATGTATTGGAGGCCTTATGTGATAGTGAAATTGCCACTGCTCAAATTTTTTATCCAATAAGAAAAATATGCGCATAAACTACGATGGAAACACAAAGTCATGTGACTTCGTGTAGTGGGGCAGCACAACTGGACTAACCAAGTGGACTGATCTCATTGCACAGCATCTGAAATGTTGTTTTGGACATTCTGAAATGCTTGAGTCAAAGTGGTTCGGTATAATTATCTCCAGAACTATCTTTCACTACTGCATTTCCAAACAGCAGGCATCTGCCTCTGAAAGCAAGATAACATGACCACATGCTTCGTTTGCTCGCTCTGAGGCACAAATAATTTATTATATACGAAAAAAGACCCACAGTGGCTTCTCCTATTGCAGCAAATTACCTTTTTCTTAGTGATATTTGGCGCCAGTTTATCAGGAAGTGATAAGTGAATTAAGTGAAAGGAAGTGATTTTTTTCCTCTTCGTCTCGCAGGTGGAAACAGTGCTTTATTTGCAAATGTTTTATGCGAATTTCCAGTTTTGCTCAAAAGTAAAATTCGCAACTTTGGATGGAAACATAGCTAATTAATGACACTCTGGCATTGCGCATCTTTATATTATATTACATACTCCTGAATGGACTTTTCTGACTAAAAAGGTAAGAATGAAACAGTCTCTTCTTCACTCCAATTCACGTTTTTTTTTTTTTTTCAGCATTTTACATTTTTCCTCTCAAACACTGAAACAACTGTTTTATAAGGCACTGTGTGTCCAAAGCACATGAATAGAAGGCACACGATTGGCGGTCTGATGCTAAGCATCTAGCCCTAACATTTTGACACCACATTGTTTCACACTGTAGGGTTTTATAATTCGAGGTAAAAAGCAGTTCTAACCCCACTTTTAAATTACAAGTGTAAAATGTAGCTTTACCTGGGGTTTAGGACAACGATAACCCAGGGTTAAGCGAAGGGTTAACTATTTCAGGTGTTAACAGCCCTCAAGTGTACTGTATTACTATGAACTATTATAGTGCATTCTGTGTCCAAAAGTGTCCAAAGGGATGAGTGCAAATCGAAGGTATGTTACAAATGTGATACATATAAATCAAGTAGTAAATGACCCAGAATATTTATTTACACTTGCTATCACTACTGGATTCATTAGTAATCATTTTTGGTCATGATAGTTACCATATAACTGTAAAAACGGTAATATTTCAGACTGTACTACAGTAATAAGATGCTATGCATGCATCAGCTACAAATGTATTTGTATATATAAAATTTATACAAATAAAAGTATGAGCATCATTGCATTAGAGAACCAAATATCAAACCAAATGGCATCTGTAAACAAATTATGTATGACCTTTCTCAGAACAAACTTTTCTAACCCTTTTCTAAGCGACTTTTAGCCAGCCAGACAATTTTTAACAGACATATGAAGTTCAGTCAGTTCACACAGGTGTTCTAACAGAGCAGATGTAGTCCATCACATTAAATGTTCCACTAATGTTTGACAACTAGTGTCACAATACATTTAGTCTTCATTTTGAACAGTTTATTAATGGTGTATAATTTAAAAGTTTGGTCACACTTTATATTAAGTGGCCTTATCTACTATGTACTAACATTAAATGCCTGCAAGTCTATGGATTCACTGTGTAACTGCATGTTGTCCTGAATAATTCCCACATTTACTGCTAAAGAGTTTGAGCTACTGTATCATATGGTTATATTTATGAGTAAGGACAGGGTTAGGTTTTGGATAATAGGGATTAAAGTTAGGTTTTGGGGTAAGGGTTGGGTTGTAGTTGAAGGTCAAGTTAACAGTGTAACTACAAATATGAATTAACTATATTTCGAATGCAATTAAACAATATAAAGCATGACAACAAAAATATTTTGTGAAATGCTTGGCAGGAAAAGTGCCCTTTGATTTCTCATTCAATGATTTTCAGTCACTTTTAAGTGTGGTTTTTAAGTCAACAGATTTAGGATCTATATGTTATATGAAGGAACTGTGGTAATGATGTGGTTAGTGGAAGAACTGTACCTTCTGAGCACTGAACTCTGGCAGCATGACGCAGGTAGCACCCACCCAGAGTGGGCACATCAGTTTATTTACGATGCCATGCACATGGTGAAGGGGCAGCGTGTGCAAGATGACATCATCTTTATTCCATGCCCACTCTGACACCAAACCCTGAACCTACAAGACAAGAAAAAGAGATTTTGACCTACAGGTACTTGTGAGTGTTTTCATGGTCCACGTGTTTGAGGCATGGGACAATCACGTTGGCTACACAGAAACAGGCCAAAGCCATTGTGCTCAAAACCTTTAAATCAGCAATGTGAATTAATATTAACCATTTGAGTTAAAATGGACTGAATGATGCTCACAAGCAACTCTTCAGTTCTCATTGTGCTGTGGCATGAACATGATTATTTACCACGTGCAGCCGGGCTGGTGCATACACGCACAATCACGCAGTCCTGAATTAGGTCGAAATGTGTACACTCAACCCCAATGCCCTATTGCTTTGGGTGTTACTCATCAGGTTATCTTGGTGTCATAACCTATAATCAAACTTTGATTAAAATTCACCTGTCTATTACATTTATAGTTCTTTACAGGCATTAAATTTAATTTCTTATTTTGTTTTGCATGATTGTGGTACATCAAGAGAATCTGACATGAAATGCATATATGCCTCCGCAAAGCCCCTAATAATGATGACACTGGTTGTAACCAACACAGTTTCTTTATTACTTAATGAAAATACTGCACAGAACTCAAGTAAGAGCATCAATTTATCTTAGCTGACTTCCATATTTTGCCAGTCACATCTTATGTATATTTTGCAAGTAAACCATCACTTTAATCAGATTGATCACAAATGAAAAAAAAAAAACACTGATTACTGTTCTTTCCAAATTTCTCTGATATCTATGAACAGTACCGTTTTCATTTAATTTGAAATTAAACCATTATTTTCAATAATTACTAATACAATTATTATTTTAAAATGAAAAATTTTCTTTGAATTCGTAAGCATACTCCAGTCATTCCTCATATGCACACAAACAAAACAATGCCGTTCACCACAATTGTAAATGTTACGAAAAACACATTTAGGGATGTACCCATACTCTATGACAGGGAAGACCTAATTATTATATTATATAAATTCTTAAATAAATTAGCTAAAATGTACGGATTTTGAAAAAGACATTTATTAATTATATACATTTGTATATAATAAAATTAAAAACAAAACTATTAAAATTAAGCTTAAAGAGTTTAAAAAGTAGACTACTCACCACTGTGCCTTACAGTGGGGAGTAGTGAGAATGATAAACAGTTGACCAGTGGCAGCTCTGTCCAGTCTTTGTGAAACACAGGCACTTGAGCTTGTCCGAAGAGGCTCCCCCTTAATTGAGAGTGATCTAATTTTCCACCCTATTGGAAATGCAGGTCAATTTTTGCTGGAAAAAAAAACACTGCCTTGAGTGGCCCATGAAATGAAACAATCAGAATGATTACTCAGAGAGGCGAAGTGGAACGAAAGTAAAAGAATGCAATGACATCAGGGGAGGGAGGGGTTCTCATTCCACAGCTACAGCTCTCATCAAACCTAATTCAGCTTCTGTTATTCATCTCACACTAAAAGAGTTGTCAGCTAAATAATCCTAATGTAACAATTCTTCCAATATCGGAGTAGGTGAAACTCTTGATCTTCTCATTTGATTATATTGTGCCATGAATATATCATGAATATATCCAATGTTGTGCAGCATGATTTTGGTTTAGATGATATTATTGGAAAAAAAATCAAAAAGCCATTATAGGCTTTGCATTACACTATGCTTAAGATTAAACTTTTGTTATCATTTACTCAGCCTCATGTCATTCCAAACCTGTAACTTTCTTTCTTCTGCGGAACACAAAAGAAGATCATTTAAATAATGTTGGTAAGAAAAATATTGGTGTTGGCGCCAATAACATCGTGGGCATATAGTTCTGTTGCGTTTCGGGTCTCCCGAGTTCATGTCCCGCCTCACAGACCTTTCCCGATCCTGTTCCCCCTCTCTCTCTTTCCCACTTCGCTTCCTGTCTACAATGCTGCTGTCCTATCCTTAATATAAGGCAAAAAAGCCAAAAATAAATCTTTACAAAAGAAAGCAAGAAAGAAAGATAGATAGATAGATAGATAGACAGACAGACAGATTATGTTACATTGAATGTTTGCAGAAGTTTAACCACTTTTTTTTTATTTTTTTATAATAGAGCCAAATCAGGCATTTAACAGTAAAGCTTTTTTGGCCTTGATATGGCTATTTTATTGATGTTCTGTTCCCTTAACATGGCTATGAGATTAATTATTATTATTTTTTTTTTTTAGCAAGTGAAAATTGTTAGCAAATTTTATTTCCAAACAGCTTCAAATGTGGCTCATCCAATCTGATTTTACATCTAAAAATAATTTCATAACCAAGTTATTGCCAAAACAGAAGCATCCATCAAAAAACAAAAAAAAATCACAGGACATGGTCAGGATCACTATTTAAGGTTGATACAATTTTCATGTGTCCTATTTGTGAGAATAAATGTGTGTGTGTGTGTATTATATATATATACAGTGGGTACGGAAAGTATTCAGACCCCCTTCAATTTTTCACTCTTTGCACTCTTTGAGCCATTTGCTAAAATCATTTAAGTTAATTTTTTTTCCTCATTAATGTACACACAGCACCCCATATTGACAGAAAAACACAGAATTGTTGACATTTTTGCAGATTTATTAAAAAAGAAAAACTGAAATATCACATGGTCCTAAGTATTCAGACCCTTTGCTGTGACACTCATATATTTAACTCAGGTGCTGTCCATTTCTTCTGATCATCCTTGAGATGGTTCTACACCTTCATTTGAGTCCAGCTGTGTTTAACCATACATCAATGGAAAGCATATTTATTCAGTTTCAGATGATGTATAAATCTACATTTCAAAAAAATTGACCCTTATGACTGGTTTTGTGGTCTAGGGTCATATAATAAATACTCATTTACCATGGCCTGCAGGCTGCTGTGAGTGTGAAGCACTCCTTTTGGTCTGCCCGTGGTGCCGCTGGTGTAGATGAGCATGGCTGGCCTCTCTGCCCAGTCTGAGATGTTCTCCTCAGGTAGCATCCGTGTGTCCTCAGACTGTAGAGTATCTAGGCTAGACGTGGTGGGAAGCTGTAGGCAGGGCAGCCCTAGTTTCTGGGCCAAGGGCTCAATGGTATCCATGAAAGGTTGTCCGGCTACCAGCAGCTCGCTCTGGGAGTCTGAGATGACATATTCCAGCTCACTTGGAGGATGCTTGGTACATGGCACAGCTATGCCGCCACACATCCAGGCCGCCCACTGCGCCACAGTGTAGGATGCGTCATTGGCACACAGGAATGAGATACGCTTGCCCTGCAGGTCTCCTGATTGACAGGTGAGTGCTTTAGTAATGAGCCCCGCCAGGCTTTTGCTGTTTTTGTAGAGGGAGCGGTAGGTGTGGCTCCCGCTGTGATCCGTAATGGCCACATTGTCTCCATACGCAGAAGCTCTGGAGAAAACAGGAGCAACTCTCCTTACAGCTGGAGAGAATTTTAGGTTGGATGACGCGAATGTTCTCTGCTCGACATTTCCCAGCAGCCACTTCAGGACTCTTCTGCCTCCCCTACAGTGAGACCAACTTGAAGAGCAGCTCCAGATGGACACGGTGTGTAAGGACAGCATAGTGTAGGATTGCACAGGAGTTGCCCACAGTCTTTGTCATCTGTCTAAGCTTGGGAATACAAAATGAAACAAAAGTAAATATTAATATTGATATAGTGTATATAAATGAAAACAAGGATTAAAAATACCCAGTTTTTCAATAAGACAATTAAAAGGCATTACTTACGACACAAGTCTCAACATTAAAGATTTTTACTTGTCCTGTCAGCATTTCATAAATACAATAAATAGCTACTTTTTTTAATTGACCTATTTATGTCAGTAAAAATAGCCATTTTTATTAAACTTAGTTTTCTTCATTAAAGTGTGTAAAAATAAGTATATTAAAGGCTGCATTTTTCTGAAACATTACTGAATTTATTTATTTTTGTTTTTATCCTATTCTAATTGACGCTTCCAAACTACAAGAAGTCATTCTGCAAACTTTCAAAAATCCCTTTTTCAGTTTTTCATTGGAAATGCAGGAATCCAGGAAGTTGTGGCAAAAAACAAATATGTCATTGCTCAAACATTTTGAGCATGTTCATGTCATGTTTTGTATAAAATAAGTTTGTATGAGGTTCCTCATACTTAGGTGGTCAAATCCTTAAACTTCAGTACAAAGTGTGTGTGTGTGTGTGTGTGTGTGTGTGTGTGTGTATATATATATACACACACACACACAAATATATGTATGTACTTATTAATAGAATGCAGAGATTCAAGCACTATTTATAAGTTGTTTTTTTTATATATGGGGGGTCTCAGAAATCCCAAGCCTCATAAGACAGAAACAAATTTCTTGTAATTCATTGAAACTGATGAAAATTTATTTCCCAAGCCTCTTTTAGCAGTATACAATCTTTCTTTTGAGAAATTCCTGTAATTAAAAAGTAAAACTGAATTTGTCACATTACTTGATAAGGTCAGAGGAACATTACATAATTTTAGAGGGAAAAATATTATTACATAAATAACTATAAATTATTATTATTTTTATTACATTTTCCTTTATTATTCATTCGTTCGTTCATTCATTTTTCACAAACAGCACAGGGGAACCCAACCTGAGACCCAAACATTATAAAAGTCAATCTTAAAACAAGTTCAATTCAAGTAGTCTCCATACAACGTTATCCCACATTTCTTACACTTCTGAAGACGCACTGTTGTGGACAGCTCGAAAGGTTAGCCTTTATAACGTTATCTGAGCTCGCTATGCATAAAATCGTAACAGAACTACAAGACCTTCCTCAAACATGACTGAAGAATAATACGTTTCTTACCGAAAGTCATACTGGATGCGGTGCGCCGTTAAAATTAATCCGTGTGGAAATCGAAGCAAAGCGGAACCTTTATTTACCAGGCTCTTGACTTGGACCTTTATCTTGCGTTATCAAAGAGCTTTGCATTTTGTAAGCCACAACAATATCTTTAGATTTTATTGTAGCATTTAACTTAGGTGCGATTATAAAGAAGGGAAAATACATTAACCAAAACATTATCTTTGTTTTCAAAATAGACAAGAAGTAGGCTACAGAATATCTTGTTTTAGTGATATGGATGTCATCTGTTAGAAATGTTGGCCTTAGCAGGTATGTAACATTTAGATATATTAGAAATGATAACAATACAATGCAATAACAAAAATGCAGTCTATATATATATATATATTTTTTTTTCACATACATACAACTAGTATGAAAATAGGATGAGGCAGACAGACAGATGGACTGAAGTTGGTGAGTATTGACATCTAAGCGTGTATTTTGCCATCACACTGTTCTCGTCCAAGCTTCATCATGCCAACTGGTTTTGGCATCAGCTCACAGCACGGGCACACTTAGCCACCAGCTGGCAGTCGCGGGCCTCAAATAAGAATTGTTCAGACATGGCACTCATTCAAAAAGTTCTCACTTCCCTAAACCCCTCCGTGGTAAATAGGGATGGCATATTCCTGCAAACTGAAAGCTTTGTCTGAGAATCTCCCCTCCAGTTTGAGAAGTAGTATCGTCAACGAAGGATCCATTCACCACCACAGAAAGAGCTGGAAGCGAGAACACTCCTTAAGGCTTTAAATGACTTAATTGATTATTGGCGCTTTGTATTGCATGTGATGTAGGTGTTTTGATGGACATCCTTCTTCTTTCATGAGGAATTCAATGATTTTCTTTTTAACGGAACCAGGCTTGGATCCCAGCATGCTCTTGGTATGAATTTTGAAATTCCAGCTGCTCTTCAAACATATTCGCTCATCAACAATCTGATTGGTTTGGAAAGAAGACCGAAGGGTGACCGGCGAGCAGAAGGCAACTCGGTGAGCATATATTTGACGCATAGCTACAATGGCTGTCCGCCAGCCCAGTATCTTCTCAGTCACGGTGTTAGCAGGTAACACGTCCGGCAGTGGGCGCCAGCTCCCCATTTGGTTGGCCCAGGATTCTCTGAAAACTGTGGGAGAAGAGAGATGCCCCCTCTTTTTTTAAAGATTTGGAGAGTGAGTGGGGAACAGAAATCAAGGGGTGTTCCAAAAACATGTGTTAGGTTGGCACCAGATGAGAATGCCTTGGCAAGCGCCTCACTCTCCCCCTCTTGCCCCTCTTAGAACACATGGCACGTTGACGGCGGCATCTGGCTGCGTTGACTCTCAGCAGCTGCGCTTTGTCTATGCCAGTTGGGATGCTTGGCACTGCCACTTCATCAACTACCTGTGGCTTCTCCTGGGCGCGGAGCGGGCGATGAATTATTTGGTGCTGCAGCTGCAAACTTGATTTCTTTCCAAGAGATACAGTTGTGTAAACACATGCTAGACTCATGGCACACAAACAAATGCTTTGCATACTTGGACAGTTTGTATACAGGAGGACAAGTCTGCATCTGGGCTTACTTTATTCAATGCTGGGCATCTGGTCTCGGGAGGAAGTTCACAACATTATCACATGGAAACCTTTGTACTCTATTATACAAGAAACTTCAGGAAACTGGTTTTGGCAATTCTTTGTCAACATGCCATGAAAGAGTGAGAAGAAACCTTTTTTTTTTGTATTACTTAAAAAGCTTCAAGGAATTTGTGGACAATAATATATGAAAGAAAGACCCTTTACTGGATTATTCCATATGAGTTCCCCAAGGTTCTCTGCTGGGCCCTCTTATGTTCCATGTTTATTCTGTAACATTTGTTGTTTTGAGTATGAAATACAGAATTAACTGTGTCGAGCTTCCCTAATGCTGCTCTCCATCTGTGCCAAAATGTGTGGTTTACACTGGACTGATAATTAAAACATGTACCATGAGGTCTTCCCATGTCTGATTTGCTAGGATTTTCCCCATGACTGTGGTTCAGCACATACCAGCGCTTTAAAGCAGCTACAAGCTTTCCTCATTTGGAAAGCATCATTTGGTATCTCCAGGGGTAACTGTCATGTTCTTTAAATTTTGCAAAAGTTGCAAAACCTCCAGAGGATCTAAGACATCACAGCCTTTTAATAAAACAACAAACTCTGCTCTATTTAAGAGGGACAGGGAGGGTGTACTTACATCAGAGTGGAGCAGCACTTTTGACAAAAAAAACAAAAACATGTCAGGCTTTGTTTTTAAGTGAAGTAGACATCCGTTATGTTCTAAGCCCTGACATCCACAGAGCCATGCGACCTAGATTGGATTACATTTTCTTTACAGGTTTTGTTTTTAGGTATTTTTCAATGGAGACAGATTATATCTGTCAAGATTCAAAGACAGAAGTTCTCTTTTTTGTTCAGCTTCTGGTGACCCACTGGGAATTTGGCTCCATCTGTGCCAGCCTGACCCAGTTTAGCCCACGGCCACATCCAACTGTTCCATGTCCCGAGCATATGTGCAGTTGCAGGGGGATAAGCGATCCTCACCACGCGGGACAGGGAAAAGCATGCTGCAGACATGACACGGGACCAGACTCTAGTCTACCCTCATCCCAGAGCATATGTCAGGAACAGGTCTGGCCTTCAGGACTCATACACTGGAATTATTCTGCTTTGAAAACAGTGAAACTGTGCTGGCATGGTTTGACATTTTGGTTCTTGGGGTGTATGATCATTGATGGTAATTGTGTTATTTGTGGATTACAAGTGAATGTTAATTTGAAAGAGAGAGAGGGATAGAGTAACACTAACCATACATAACACAATATATCAAAAGCAATATAAATTTTTTAATGGCATTGTATGGGCTAGTCCATCAATGAAATCTCATTAGTCTAAAATCTTGCACCTTAAAACTGTACGGTGAACATGAAATATATTCTGATTGGCTGAGTCACATTGCGTACCAGTTTTGCGTTTGGTGTGGAAAGATAAATTAATTGCTCTAGAAGCATGTCTCGCTGTGTCTGGTTAGGGCACTGTGTGAGAATAAAAGAGAAACAATGTACATTATATATCAATCTTGTTTACTCTTATTTTGTCAGGAGTGTGATTTAAAGCTAAAATTAAGCCCAAACCTAGACCATAAAAAAGGCCCTGTGATCTGACTTGTGTATTATATAGAATTATAATATATTTTTTTTTCATCAATCACAAACCTGAAGTTATACATGAAAACTGACTTCAGCCTGACACAAAACAGTTTGTCGGTTCCTGACGGGCTCGGGTCGTGTAGCAGACCTCTTACATTATCTGCATTAGCCAGCCCATATGGAGAGGAAGGAGCAGGGCTTCCCCAATAACCATGGCAATGGAAGTGGAAGCAGGCACTGTTGGCAGCCAAGCAGATGTGTGGACAGTATCGGTGCCCAAAGCTTGTGCCCACTGGGAGCAGAATGTGAGATGCACATATGGGGCCCCATGCTGGTGTTCAGCTGATGCAGCAAGATAGAATTACAGAAACAGTTCTCAATCAGACTGAGGCTCAAACTGTCACTTGATTTCAATACAGATTGAAAAAATAAATTTCAGAACTTTGAAACACATTTACTAACCAAAATATGAGTGGTGCCTGCCTGTGCAAAACTGCTGAGTGGTTCTTACTATGCAGTTGCAATTCATTTCTTTGCCCACCCCTAAAATATTGTGTTCCAAGCCCCAAGTCTTTCCTTAAGTTTATAGTTGTTTTCACAATTTGTCCCATTACAAGTTTGATTCCAACCTCCTTGCTCTGTCCCCTTGGTTTCTTTGCTCAGAGGACCTATGGGTCTGAGTTCTGGTATATTTATATCATCCATATTAATACCACTGTATGTTCTAGTAGCAGCTGTTTAGCACTGTAACTAGTTAACGCCTCATGATGAAATGTCAGTATCACTGTTTTATTCATGTTTTTGTCGCTTTGACTTGTGTTTGTCTGCCACAGATTTATTTCAAGAAATGCAAAGGCAATTTGTTTTGGAGACTTGCAACTATTACAATAATACTATTACTATAGTATGACCAGGAGCATGCAATGATACAAATTATTTGTCATCAACAGTGGTTCACTTCTGTGATTTAGAACAGATTATGTTCATATTAACTGTAATAAGTAACAGAGTTCACATAAACTGTACCAGACCAGCTGGACTTAGGTGGACTTGATACTGGAGCACACCTGAAAAGCTTTACAGGTCAACACCAAAAGTTCTAGTTTGAAAGTCTCTGGTGGTCCAATTGCTTAGAAACATTATATCATATTTCTTTTCAATGAACCACATAATTTGAGGAGTAATGTCTGTATGATAAATGGTGTGAGACAAATTATGTTTTGTGTTGAAGTTTAAGGATCTGACCTAAGTATAAGGAACCTCATACTGAGCCACTAATCATAGTCATCACAAATGTCTGTTTTGCTGAGGACCGATACTTGAAATACAGATTAGGCTGTTTGCTCTGCCTTGCAGTGGTATTTCACAGTCAGTCTCTGCTGGCCATTACCGTCCTCATGGCACTCTAGTTTACTGATAGTCTCCCTCTAATGAGTTATTGATCCACTCTGTTTTCTCTTTGCTTTCTTTCAAGGCAACAGAAATCACTGCACAGGAGAGACAATCAGGGCTTTCCCAATCCAACTTCCAGGCAGCATGTCCTCTTTAGACCTGCACTAGTTCTGCAGGTCACCGCAAAAAAAGCTGCCGGAGGTTTGTTTGGAAATGTTGTAAGGACAGTGTATTGGGGCTGTTTTTGCACATCATGTAGTAATCGGATGTTCATACTTCATTTGCATTTGGAGAGAGATGGCAGAACACAGGCAAATCTGATCCTGGCACCACATGCCAAGCTTGTGCATGAAAATCAATGCACAGTCACTAGACTGTAGCTTCGGCTAACATTTTTTCATGGCTACCATGTGTCATTGATCAGTCAGAGGTGATTTTAATCACAACCAATCAAATAGCATGTGGTT